AATAGTGAATTGATATTGTTTGGAGATAAGAAATAAAATCTTTGGTCCAATTGATGCGGGAGCATCAAGTTGGCATACATGAAACTTAAATAAAAACATCATTAACATTAAGACCGTTCATTGAAATGAGTAGATAAATTATTCAATAAATTAAATAAAATTGATTGGAGTATACCTGATGTATGTATTGATAACACCGAGACCTAATTCTTCATGTCTAAGAACTTGATCCACACCCTCTTTACTTATTATTTCGTAATAGGAAAAACCAAAAATACCTTCCTCCATAGGTATATTACGAGCACATTTGTCAGCCAAATCTGATATTCCCTTTAATTTCTGAAAGCATGACCTATACCGAGAAGTAGGCTTTTTTTTAGCTGCGGACTTTGCAACATCCTTTTTGTGTGGACATGTTGCCAATTTCAGGCTTCTTACTCATATTGAATTGTTGCATCTCTTTAACATGAATCTAAATATCAAATTCATATAAGTTAGGTGAAGTATAAGATCGTGAATTAAATTTTTCTATGTATAATATAAATCAATTTACCTCTTTTTTGGATGCAACTGACTCGGTTTGCCTCGTAATCCCCTTATCTTTTGATTTGGATTTTGTAGGAGTCTAACATTACCATAAAAAAAATGTACGTTAAATGATCATAAAAAATTTGAATACTCAAAAATTCATAATGGTTTTCAACATACCTCATCATCTATGCAAATGGGGTTTGACGGCCATGCAACATACGATCCTATTGCCTCTCCCACCAATGTTACATCTGAAATATCGTCAGGCAAAGGTAATGGGCGCACCCCTCTCTAAAGCAATATCAATTGATACTTTCAAAAATCCAGCAGGGAGCGGTTTATGGTGAAGTACTTCTCCCAAGGTGTTATGTACTTTTCCCTTGCCAACCATGCGATAAGTAGGTGATGATAAATATAGCTGACAAGGTGAAATGCCCTAAACCAATAATAAATATGAAATTGTTAATATGTATATATGTCAATTAAAAAAATTATGCTAATTCATAATAATATATATTACCTCAGGAATTTTCTGTTGGAAATCACAATTGATATTATCTTTGTCACTAGTATCCTTGAACCCTAAACTTTGCCTTTCTGACATGAATCTTCATTTGTCCTTTTCCAACTTACGAACTTTAGCTTTTAATTTTTCTAACTCTTCCATCACTTATTTATTGCTATGACCTTTCCTCTTTTGATGAGTACCCAAAGATGTTTGAGTCACCCCAAATCCCTTACCCCTCACACGACCGGTATACTCAGGAATATTTAATACTCGACTAAGTATGCTCCTGCAATTATGGTCTTCAGCTTGAGTTAAAGATTGAGATAGATTCTCCTGAAATTCATATGCATAGGTAATAAATTATTGGTGATTAAAACTCATAAATTGTTTATATTAATAAACTTTTGATTTAATTAAGGGAGTATTGATATACTTACACATTGCTCATAAATTTGAAGCATATCTTCCTTAACAACTCTATCCTTACCCACCCGGGCAACCTTCCACAGAACATGTTTCAGAAGAGATGTTTCTTGACTTTTCTCCTCTTCTAACTACACATTAAGAGAAATGATAAAATCAATAATAACACATGATGAACAAGTATATCATAGCATTTATATATACTTACCAATCTTTGCTGCAAGCGTGCATATCCCATACGCCCTTTTTTGTATGGATACGGGGGACTTGATGCTCGTTGGCGATTCACGACACTCACATCCTGAAAATCTGAGGTTCTTAATTTTTCTTTAAAGGTTTCCCATTATTCAGGAGAAATCAAACCTGTATATGCCTTTGGAAGTTCTGCATCGATAAAATTGTTATCGGCATCCCTAAGAAACTTGTTTGTCAAAAAAGATTAAAACCCTCTTAATCTTTTTACGGCCGATTAAAGACAATATGATTTTCGAGCATCATCAATGTTAAAAGACCTCTACAACAAACATACATATGGTGTGTTAGTAATTTAAAGACATAAGCATAAACAAAAACAAATGACATCACATATGGCACCTGTATATCACTGCATATTTTTTCATTAACTGGTTTCAACTCATGCTTTCTCCAATCATCAGAAGTGATTGAAACTTCTCTCCTCACAAGGGAACCAATGTAACTTGTCAAAATTGAACCATTAGGCTTAATTAGTTGTTTGTCTTCATTTCAATGTACATCAAATTTGATACCTTTATCTCTTGCACGAATGATTGACTTCATAATTGTTATTCATCGTCTAATGTCATTCTCCATATCACAAGCTGATTCATTTTTATCATTATTAGAAACGGGATGTGATTTTCCCTCATTACTAGCCATTTGACATGTAATATTAAAGAAAAATATAAACACCATATAAAATTCAAGTAGCATTGAATGAATAAACACAATATAAAAACATAAACACAATATAAAATCATAAACAAAATTTAAAAATAAAAACACAATATAAAAACATAAACACAATATATAACAATTTTATTGAATGACAGGACATATAACATTTTACAAGTACATTTTTCACTAACATCTCTTTCGTTTCTTGGTTGGAATATGAATTACTTGGCTCTTAACAACTCGGACGGATGGATTGATCCAAATTATCTCATTATGATGATTTCTAATATATGATTCATCCGCTATAATATTCTCATCTTGATCATTTCGTATATACAAATCATTCCCTGTAACATATGACTCATTCTCAACATCAATGTCACTTTGATTTACAATGTTATCATCAATCACTTTGTTAGGGTTTTCGGCATGTTCAACAACAAACTTAACAAATTCTAATTCCCCATTCTCGTACTCTTTTGGCAATTGATTGGAAGACATCCATTTTTTATCCATGATTTTACTACTAATTAAGCTAAACAAAAACACTAATTAATCACGCAGCTATAACAGAAGAACAACTAATTACTTGTAGAGATTAGAAACTTCTAGAACCACACAGTTTAAGATTCTTGGAACGATCAGAATATCACTCTTCACAAGAGAAATGGAGATGGAACAACGATTATGAAATCGGGAAGCAGCTAAACATAAACATTAGGTTCACTAATTCCATTTCAATCATGTTTAAAACAAAACGAGTTTTGAGACTAGCCGCTCCATCATTTGATTTCACGCTACTTTTTTCCAAATTTTCCCATGTTTCTCTAGTTTCTTTCCTCTATTTATTTCATCTTTCACTCAATCGTTCTCTCTTCTATTTCTGGTTCATGGGTAACAACAACAATAAATAACCCTCTCTGCTTTTCTTTAATATCACCTCTGTTTCTATCTCGGTTCAGTGGCTAACAACAATAAAATCTCAGTATCGCTCTCATGCTCACGGTTATGACTCGACACAGAAATAATGACAAGCAACAATAATAACAAACTCTTATGGCCCTGTCTTGATTCTCATAATTTCAACAATATACAACAACTACAACAATATATTTGAGGAAAAGAAAAGAGAACTTACGGATGTGTATTGAAACAATGAATCGTGGAAGTTATGAATTGTTGATAGAGCTAGTTCGACGGTTCTGGCACTGTCTAATGATGAAACAATAACGAAAACTTACGAAAATGTGTTGAAATCATTGAAGTTATGAATCCTTGATGAATGAAGGTTGCAGAGAAATGTTTGTGAAATATATATTTGCGTTGCAGAGAAATATGTTTAGAGAGAATAACGAAAACCTCTGAGTTTTAGGGTTTTTCGTTTTTTTTTAATTTAAAAATAAAAAATTAATGACCTTAGGCAACGCTTTGTAGAAAGCGCTTTCTGATGTATTTTCTTTAGCAGCGCTTTTTCATTAAAAAGTGCTTTCTGATGTATGCCATATAGCAGCGCTTATATGAACCGCTTTCTAAATACAATCTTTAGCAGCGCTTTTTGGATATGTGTGGCCTTAAGCAGCGCTTCTTACAAGTGCTTTCTAAAGTAATCCTTTAGCAGTGCTTCTTCTCAAATTTCTTTTAAAGCTATAGTAGCGCTTATATGAAGCGCTTTCTAAACACAACCTTCAGCAGCGCTTTTTGGATATGTATGGCCTTAAGCATCGCTTCTTACAAGCGCTTTCTAAAGTAAGCCTTTAGCAGCGCTTCTTCTCAAATTTCTTTTAAAGCTATAGCAGCGCTTTCTAAGAAAGCGATGTCTATAGTGCGCTTTGGGCCTATGGCAGCGCTTTCTACTGTTGGGTCTATTAGGCAATGCTTTCTAGAATTTATTTATTTTTTTCAATTTTAATTGACCTTAGGCAGCGCTTCCATAAAGCGCTGCCTAAAGTGTAGCTTAGGCGGTGCTTTTTGTTAACTTTAGACAGCGTTTTTTTATAAAACATTGTCTAATATAGCAACGCTTGGATACAAAAGCGCTGTCTAAAGTGTACTACCTTAAAACAATTTTGACGTAGTGTGCGTTTTTTCCTCCTGTACTCGTGCTCTTTTCTGAAACCATGCTTATTTGTTGTGGTGCATTAAAAATAAAAAAATCTTTTTAAATAGATATCAAATGGGTTTTACTTAAATAAAACAAATCTAATAAAAAAATTCTTTTCTTTTTTTCTTTTTTTTTTCTAATTAAACAATGGATCCACTTTAGCAGTGAATCCACTCTAGACTTGCCAATTATTATTATAAATAAGAGAAGTGATTTCGGACCTAAGAGGTTGAAGAGAGGTCGTTGGAGTGAAACTGTTCTTAACAATTGTGGCAAAAACCATTGAATTTGTTTAAATAGTGTGCAAAGTGTTCTAAAGGCATTAATAGAAAAAGCATGGTTATCTTTTATTTATTACTACTTTTTGTCCAAGTGTTATACTTTTATTATTGAAGAAAGTGAAAATGAGAAAAGCATTCACTAGAAATCAGGAATCCCACTAACTATTGTCTGTTCAGTGCATCAATAAAGGGTTCTGTGCAGAATGTAAATAACTTCAACTACAATTTTGAAGAAGAAAACATGGAAACAACACTCATGTGCTTTCTTTATTATTTGTTCATAATATTTTGTTACTACTTTGCCAATTCTGTACGTGCTATTGAATCACCAAAGTATACAGTAATACAATCAGAATCAGATTTTCAGATCAGACTCTACAATGAATCCTCATGGATCTCTGCTCCATCTTCCAGAACTAATTCCTTCGAGAAGTCCACCAAAGCCGGATTTCAGAGGTTTTATTTTATCATATATATTTCTGTTGGTCTAATATTCAATTTCTAACGATATCATTTATTTATATTTATGTATTAATGTAAAATAAATTGTTGATATTTATAAATTAATAGTTATGTTAAAAATATTGTTATAAGATACTTTGGATTTCACAGGTTTTTGTTAATCATGATCCTATAGGTTGTACCAATATATTCACGGAGCGAATTTAAATTCTTCCAAATTTGCAATCACTGCTCCAATCTTAACAAGAATTCCTTCATCAATATCTTCTGAGGTTGGCTATAGTGTAAGAATGTATTTATCACCTCACTTTCAAGGGAAGCCTCCACAGCCTAATCCCGAACTGAAGTTGCAACTTGAGAAATGGAAATCTCAATGCATAGCAGTTAGAAAATTCAGTGGATATGCAAAGGATGATAACATTAACAAAGAAATTGAAGCTCTGGTTAGTAGTTTAAACAAGTGGCTAGATAAAACTTCAGAAATAGTACATGATGCAAGCTCGTATACCGTTGCTCAATACAATGCTTCCTTTCGTAGTACTGAGCGGGTAAATGAAGTGTGGATAAATGTGTCAGGATTTAGAAGTGACTGCTGAGAGTATCTTGATTGTTTCAATGAAATTGTGCTTGAAGTGTGTCTTGTTTCAATGTTTCTGTCAGTTCAATGTAAAATAATGCTCCTAGCTACTTGAAATATGCTTAGCGTTTATATGAAGTGATTGCTGATGTTATTCATATTATTCATATGAGATTTCCAAACTTATATACAAGAGGTAAAGTATGACTAACCACAATCTCATTGAACAATTCCGTAATATTTCATAGTATATGGATGAGATCAAAATCAAATGAATAATCTAGGAAACCAAGGATGAATCTAGCTTGTTACACGTGTAAGCTATCCTAAGGCCTCGTATGAAGAAATATTGAGAAAAATGTGTCGTAAGAAATATTCATGAAGCCTAACAACAACCAGAATGGATAACAAGGGTAAATAAAGAAATACAAGTCTTGTATAAAAATAACACGGGGAGATAAATGCTTTGTCATAAGGAAATAAATTAGTGGGGAAATTATTCTTATCAAAAACTATGTCAGTGAGAGCATAACCAGGCACAAACTAATGGATTCGCTCAATCATATGGAATGGATTACCAGGAAACATTTGTTTTGGTTAGTGGACAACGCACAGTTTCGGTTGGGTTTGGATGTAAAATCTTTAATTCGAACAAATTAACGGATGGGAATATCTCATTTAAATCTGTCTATGAGATATTGGATCGAACTCTATTAGGTTGAAGAGTAACTTCTGATTCGACAAGATTTATGTATCCCCTCGAAATATGTTTACATGTTGATGTCGAAGACCCACATACTGTAGTCCATGTGTGTTCTAGTATGTGGGTGTCGAAATGTTATGGTTGTTAGTATTTCGAATTAGGCCTATTTGTTATGTCGAATTATTTAAGTTAGTTTGTAATGGATATTTGGGAAAAAGCTCATTAGTTTAGTATGTTAGGTTTATTATAAATAGCATATTAGTCTCTTATCATTGCATACTGCAAATTCTAATTTAGGGTGAGAGGGTTATTTGTTATTCTTGTGTACTTGTAATCTTGTTTGAAGATAAAGTAAAGAATAACAGTTAATAATCAATCCTTGTTGTTCTTCGTATTTTTTCATCCTTTTCTATCCTTGTGGGTTTCTTGCCTTGAAGAACTCTATTATACTTTGTTTCAAAGGTATCGTGTTTCACAAAAAATTGGTGCGGCAAGCGTGGAAAACATGCATTCAACCAAGTATGAGATTGAAAAGTTCACCGGAGTGAACGATTTCGGTTTGTGGTGCTTGAAGATGAAATCGCTACTGGTTCAACAAGGTTATTTGGAAGCGTTGAAGGGAGCGAAGACCATGGATGATGAGATGTATGCAGTTGATAAAGCTGCATGAAGAAAGCTAATTTTTTCTCGGATGATAGAGTTTGTTTCAAGGTGGAGATTTGTTAGATATTGGATCAAACTCTATTGGGTTGAAGAGTAGCGTCTAGTTCAACAGGATTTATGCACACCGTCGAAGTATGTTCACATGTTGGTGTCGAAGACCCATATACTGTAGTCGAAGTGTGCTCTAGTATATGGGTGTCCAAATGCTAGGATTGTTAGTATTTCGAATTGGGTCTGTTTGTTATGTCCAATTGTTTAAGTTAGCTTGTACACTAAGTTAGCTTGTAATGGGCATTTGAGAAAAATCCAATTAGTTTAGTATGTTAGGTTTATTATAAAGAGCATACTAGTCTCTCATCATTGCATACTGCAAATCCTAATTTAGGGTGAATGGAAAATTTGTTATTCTTGTGTACTTGTAGTCTTGTTTGAAGATAAAGTAAAGAATAATAGTTAATAATCAATCCTTGTTGTTCTTCGTGTTTTTTCATCCTTTTCTATTCTTGTGGGTTTCTTGCCTTGAAGAACCATGTTATACATTTTTCAAAAGTATTGTGTTTCACAACACTGTCTATATGATATTTTCGATTAAAACGATTTGGGTTTAAACAAATAATATGATACATGGGTGGATTTCAACGCGTTTGCAAGTCTCTTGGAAGAAGAAAAAACATATTATCTTCCATCAAACTAAACCATCTTTATTGCAACTTGTCCATAGTAGATATGAAGTATTTTTCTTCTCCATGTTTCTTCTTCTTAGAAAAGATAACAGATGAAAGATGAAAGTAAATGTTGCATCTTTCTCTATAAAGTAAAGATTTGATAAATAGAAGTTAGTAAAAAAAAATTAACTTGAGTTGCAATTTTATTTGTTGAGAATTAGTGTTAAACCATTTGAACTTTCTAAAAACAATATCATTAATAGCACAATTGCTATTTGAGTTAAATAAAAGGGAAATATTGTCTTTTCACTAAGGTAATATTTAAAACAAAACCAAGAACATTTATCTTAATTTCCTCATTTACAAATTTGAAATCTAGAGAGAAGAGAAATAATTTACTTGAGAGAGAAAGAGAGGGTATGTGTAGGAGAGAAAGAAGAGTAAGGAGAAGTATTCTAAAGTTCTAACTTGTTTTTCATGTTAGATTAAGGTTAATCCTCAAGGAAGAAGAAGAAAAGGGAGCATAAAGGATCATTAATTCATCTTCCATCCTTTTACATCTCTTCAAATTTTGAATTCTTCAAAATTGAGGTTGGATTCTTAGGTTTGATCTTGGAGTAGACCAAATTAAGGGTTGCATGTGGGATTTGGGTACTTGATTTTTGTGGTTTTCTTGTGTTACATGTTTGATCTGGTGTTTGATTGTGTCAGTTGCTTGATTTTTTATTTGCATGTCTAATTTTGCTAATAATAAATATGTCTTTCTTGTGAATTGCATGTTGTATATGGTTATGAGAGAGATTGGTGATTGATTTGGACTAGTTTGAATGTAGGAGGAAAAGATGTATTTTTGGCCCTGGTTAGACTTGTAATTGAATACACAAAAGTTGTAATCAAGTACAGTGATGGAAATGGGTTATTTGGACTCTGGATGAAACTGCAATCGATTACAGCTAACCTGTAATCATTTATAGGTGTGTGAAATGTTAAACTTTGAGTTCTGGATGGGCTGTAATCAATTACAACTAGCTGTAAAAATGTGAAGCAAAATTGAAAATAACATAACTCGAGTTTGGAAGCTCCCATTTAGGTTAGACTAGTTATGTTGCATTAAAAATCTAACTCAAAAATCTATCTTGTGGTAAAGTTTCATAATAGTTGTATGTGTGTGATGTTGTGATTAATAAATGATTGTAAGGTAAAGTAACAACCCTAGGTAACCTTAGGGCTTAAATCTAAAGGGGAAAATATTCAATCTTGGATACATACATGTATCATATGACGGTGAGCAGTCGTTAACACCAGTTCTGAAGGAATCCATTGAGATACATGTGAGGATTGTTAAGGCTCCCTGCACATACCTGAGTGTAGCTTGTAATCAGGAGGGTAATCCGATCAAGGTTGTAGGTCACACCATAAAAGAAAAATTGATGGAAAGGATTAATATGAAGTATAAGGTTCCACAAAATTAGGCTTGGTATGTTAAGTGATAGTAGGAAGTTGACGTTCCACGAAGCTAACCATCTCCTGGAGTGTACATGGTATGTTATACCGATTGTATCTACATTCCAACATTTTATGATGCTAATTATGTCTTAATCCATTTTGTGTTATTTTATATCACACGAGTGTTAGAACCTTGTTGAATCATTTGTAGTTCTAGATGACCTTATCACCAAGAGAAGTTATAGTTTTAGTAGGACTCTAATGAGATAGTATCATCTCACTCCATGTTGTTTCTTACCTTTTTAGGTGATCAGGTTTCTGGTAAGTGGAAGGGCAATATGACTTGATGTATGCAAGAAGGCTTTCCTTTTATTTTAATTTTCGCTACATGCTCTTAGTAATTTTTATGTTTCAAACATGTTGTATATGTATGCACATTTGATATACCCTATGAAATTTCATTTATTTATGTGATGTATTCATGACTTCTATTGTCATAATACTAAGTATTGAGTCTGATCATATTGATATTTATATATGTGATAGGATATAAATATTATTAAACCACCATGAGGGCAAGGAAGGCCTATGGCACCTCGCGCACAAAATGTAGCAGTCATCCAAGGTGTGGGAGGAGATATGGACCATTAAGAATGGATGATGCACTTGCATCAACAAGAAATCATGATGCAAGTGACGCAACAGATGCAGGATAGTCAACAGTTTTAACCTAAGCCTCCACAACAAATATTAGGTAACCAGAACTTTTGATAATTCTATCAAATTAATTATAGAAAATTTGCAAGAAGTCTTAATCCCTTGATGGTGCGATTTGTTCACTAGAATGGAGCGAGTATTTCAGATGGCCACTTGTTGAGAGCACTAACACCAGATGTAGGGTTAGTGTTGTAGCCTACATGACCACCCAAGGCATTCAAAAAGATCAGGAACACTTCAAGGCAATATTTTTGGAAAGTAATTTCCAAACATTTTGCGGGCCTAAAAAAAGCTAGAATTTCGGCAACTTAAGCAAGGAAACATGTCTTTAGAAACAATTGCACAAATGTTTGAGGATATGGAAACTTATTCAAAACAAGCAATGTATGCACCTGATGATAAATGTAATATGAATTAGTTCAAGTTCGGGTTAAGAGGATATATCAAGCATAAAGTGGCACATCATAAATTTGATACATCTGCCCAGAAACTACAACAATGTTATGTGGATAAAAACAGTTTGAAGAAGATTCAATGGGAAATAAGCAGACAATGCATAAATAGAGATACTTTGGTAAATTCAACCAACAGCTGAAGCCACAAGGATCCCCAACAAATGGAAAACAAATTCAATGTGTCAGACCTAGTCAACCACCCATGTGCAACACTTGTAAGAGGCATCACTTAGGAGAGTGTGAGAATGAACTGTTGAGATGTTTTCATTGTTGGGAGTTGGGACATAAGAGGAAGGACTATCATAATAAAAGGGCACAAGAGACACCTGTAGGAGGGCATGGTAGAGCAGGCCGATCACTACTATAAATA